GCGGTTATGCATTTCAGATAAAATGAGTGTCCTCCATACGGGGAGCAGGTACGAATCCTGCTGGAGGATGAATAATTTTCTAACAAGATTTCTTGAATATTCCGGCCAGTAGATGTAGTTGGATAAAAAATACTGTTTAATTTAAAAACAGAGTTTATACTCGAATATGTGTATCGATCCATGTCGATTCCTATGCCTATATAAGATAGTTTTTATCAACACAACCTACCCGCACTCTTTCCCTTCATTTGGTCTGGTTTTTTGGGGGCGGGTGCACTGTAATAATTATGAATTTCTGGAAAAAACGTTGAATTTGTCTGTTTCTCAAATGAAGTATTGTTACTATTTACACTATTTATGCTGTCCTCATATGTATTGTCATATTCACAAAGTTTCGGCCGTTGTACGCCTCGGCTTTCTTCAGGTGATATACGTTGGAATTTCGAAACAAACTATTTAGTCCACGGGAGTAGATTGTTCTAGTTCCACGAGCCATGGCTTTTAATTATATCTCAGTTTCAGTTAATTCCTTTTAGTAACTCAACTCTCCATTTTTCTGTTAACATCTGTTGAGTCCAAACCAAAGAATTGAGTTGTGAGTTCAATAGCAGGCCACAATTTCTGGTGTTTCGGGTTCAGGAACAGGCTGCGCAGGTATCTTCGTTTTGTTCGCATTCACTTCCACCCCAAAGTGATGGTAAGCTTTGAAATCGAAAGTCGAACAGTACTGGAGATGGTATGGGTGGCATTGTCGTCTGCGTACTGGAGTTCTTTGATGATGTTTTTCGATGTTCGACTTTTGAATTTCGGGCCCGTGAAGTTAAATAATTCGCCAACCACCCGGTGATAACGGATGTCAATGCCAGGAAAGTCGCGTGGGATCTTATTGAGGATCACTGCCTGGTAGATGGAGAACAGAGTTGGAGTCAGGACGCAGCCTTCTGTCAGGCATCTTTTGATGGAAATGGTTCTCTATGCTACAACGATATTTTAAAAAAGTTATCTATCTATCTATCTATCTATCTATCTATCTATCTATCTATCTATCTATCTATCTATCTAATTAAACATGATTGTATATAGATTGCTGTGTTGCCTACTTCTTACTATAAAATGTGTGTGTGTGTGTGTGTGTGTAACGCATGCACGACCACAATTTTCGACGGATTTGCACCAAAATTTACATGCACATGCTCCAAGTTAACGAGAAGGCCAAGACCGACATTGCATTTCCCAACTTCCATCGATAGTGGAAATAATCGATTTTTCATAGCTTCTACGGCAGTTTTCATGTAACTACATGAAAACTGCCGTAGAAGCATGTTTCTACTGGCCCGAGTGAGGGCCTATAGCTGGCTGCCACGAATAGACAGGAAGATTCTATTAGCCAGTGTGAGAGCCAACAGCTGACTGACACGAATGCTAGCATGCAAAAAAAAATCGATAGCTGCATTCGTCACAAGTGGGAAAAATTTAAATCTGCAAGGCAATTGGCTCATTCGCTTGCTTAAACTCAACGTTGATTCTGATTCCGCAGAGCTGGGTTGGATGTGAAAAAGTATTTGTTGTTAACATTCTTTTTTCATTCGGTTTTCCCAGTTACGAGTCCTTTTTTTAAAGCTGATCGTTTTGCGTTCATTTTGTTTAGTTCTTTTTTCATAACAGATTTAATGTTTAGTATAGAGCTTAGAAAAAATTCGCAGTGTGAGATAGGCAAGAAGTAAAGCATGTAGCAACATCAGCACGGCAAAGGGCACTCCTTTAAAAGCAAGGAAAGACAAAAATATTTTAAGTCAAGTGATAGCGATTGCAGTATGAGTCGTACGATTTTTGAATCAGGTACGGGCAACGCCGGGCTATGCTGCTAGTATTTTATAATACATTAAACAATGGTGGTGAAAATGGACAAAATATCAGCCCAATTGATTTGCTGTGCAAGTTAACATTCACAACTCTTTTGCTTCAGTGTGAAATATTCAGGTCACCTAAGGAGAGAAACCCGGAAGAGAATTACTTTAAGCATTCACGTTTTTTTATATACCTCCAGAGCAGCTGCTGCTGTGATACTATGTTTATTAAAGCACTACAGAGATATTCTTAACGAAATATTTTTTTATATTGTCTTCTCTCCGAGTGCTTTCAACAGCGGACTGTTCATTCTTAATTGAATTCCTGTTGACACTGTCATTCTAATTACCGGTCATAATATTAAGGAAGCTTCAATCTATATTCCTCGGAGAATCTGAATTTACATCTGTCAAAATAATTTTATTGCATGCACTCAAATTATGAGGAAGTTGTTCAAAACTTGAATGATACGAATCAGTTATTATGTGAATACAAATCATGCTTCCTGTGATTTTTGCCAATATCTTTCGATTTGCATTCATGTTGGAAGTGATTTACCAGAAATGTATTTCGAGTTTATTGAAACTTGCCAACGTTATCGAAGCGTTTTTATCGACGGAAAATAATCAATACAATCGAAATTTCCTTCGATTTTAGTTTAGATTTGTTCATTTCTGTGTTAATTTATATTTATAAAGTTTATGTTAAAGACAAATTGAAATTCAATGAAAACTGTCAAATAATTATCTTTCACACACACACACATATATATATTATCTTTCATAAATATATATCTTTCATATATATATAAATATATATATATATATGCATATTATGTATATATATATTCATATATATATAGAGAGAGATTATCTTTTATATATATATATATATATATATATATATATATATATATTCATATATATATATATATTCATATATATAATATCACAAATAAAAAAAATGGAATATTTAATAACGAAGAGGATGGGATGAAAAAGAAAAGAATATAGATGAGTCTGGCTAGAATTATATATATATATATATATATATATATATATATATATATATATATATTATTCCTAAAACGTTAAAGATTTTAAAACTACAACCAACTCTCGTTCATGTACATGTGAAGTCACAATAATATCAACACATTCAGTCAAATGAAATCCTAAAGCATGAAACGTTTCTCCACAAAAACATTTACAATTTGTCTAAACTGTTCTTGATATATATATATATATATATATATATATATATATATATATATATATATATATATATATATATATATATATATATATATTCCATGTATATATATATGAAATAAAGATATATATATATATCGTTATTCCATGTATATATATATATATATATATATATGAAATAAAGATATATATATATATATATATATATATATATATATATATATATATATATATAGATATCGTTATTCCATTGTCATTCTTGGTCAATTAATATTTTCCAACATATTTCCTGCATTTTTAAATCTGTGTATTTTCCTGTTTCTCATATTTTTCTAAATACAGTTTGTTTATATTTAAAATTATATATATATATATATATATATATATATATATATATATATATATATATAGTCACCCACGGACAGATGCTTCCCTGTATTACAGCTCGTCAATGTGGGTAGACGTCCGATTGCCTCTAGCTAGTATCGAAACACGGATATTCTACCTACAAATAGTTGGCGCACGGCAAGGATGAACGTAAATTTAAGCATATTTTTTGTGAACGAAGAGTCTTGCATTATTAACAGTAATAGTAATTGTTTACAAATTCGCACTTCCTCCCCTAGAACTCCACCAATATAAATTTTTCAGGATCATATAAATACTCACACACACACACACACACACACACACACACACACACACACACACACACACACATATATATATATATATATATATATATATATATATATATATAAATATAGAGAGATAGAGATAGATAGATAGATGTATATGAGATAACGATAGATATTTTTATATATCAAGAACAGTATCGGGGAAATTGTATGACAAAGTGAAAAAAGTCGTCAAAGGTGTGTATTTATTTTAGTTTTTAAAAATATGATAACGTGAAAAAAGTTTGGTGATTTGTTTTCTCAGACTGTCTGAAGTCTTTGTTTAGGTTAGGGTACAAAAACAGATATGAATGCTTCGAAAATCGACAGGGAATGTTAATTCAAAGACAATATTTCGAGCTTCGTTTAACCGGAAATCGTACTTGGCCAAACGGATAAGCAAGTCACATCTAATGACATTTCTTCATACGGGATGCCGGGTTATATTCTGTTGTGTATATACATTGTATGCGTGTAAATTTATATCACAGTTTTGGTCTAATCAGGTTTAACGATAAATGCAATTGTAGGATCTTTTCTGTTAATTCACCCCCCAATATTTTAAAGTTACTCCACCCCAAGAAATGATGAATTTTAAATCAGTTTTTTTTTTATTAAATTTTAGGGGACACTTTCGAAATTATAAATTTTAAATCAAAGTTTGTTTTTTATTTAAATTTTGGCATGGGTGAGGGTTAGGAACTTTTGACAATTTAGACAAGAATATAAAAAAATGATTTTGTCTTGTTTATCGAGGTGAGAGAACGTAAAGCCCCACATTAAAAATAGCGCACCGAGTCGCCCACATTTGGGGCGACCGCAAAGGTCAACTCCACCGGAGGCAATGGAAGAGCCTCGCTCTGGGAGAATTTACATTTACATATTACATTTATCGTTAAACCAGATTTGATTGTTTTATTTGATCTATTGATTTCAGTTTGTAAATTAGCAGTATGTTATTAAACGGCTGAAAACTATAAATCAGAAGGAAAAGCGTGTAGATGTTAGCAAGAAGCCAATGTATTTCACTCGAAGCTCTGGTTCACGCCCAGTAGACATGAAAAGAACACGAAGTCACAAAAACACACAACAGACAGAGAGAGAGAAGGAGAAGGAGAGAGAGATAGAGAGAGAGAGAGAAAGAGAGGAAGGGGTGTGTGAATGAGAGATGCAGAAAAAAAAAAGAATAGGCCTAGTTTTCCCTGAGAGAAGGGCCCTCAGAAGCAGATCTCCCGAACTTTCTTTAGTTCATTTCGTATACCCGCCATCGAGTTGAAAAGTTCAGTTGGAGTGACATTGATACACGAGTATGTTTTCTTTCTCCCACACACATACATCAATTTATGTCTATTCCAAAATGTAGACAACGAAAGTAAACACGCACGTATACTCACGCACGGGCACACGCGGGCGCCGACACACACACACACACACACACACACACACACACACACACACACACATACAGAGAGAGAGAGAGAGAGAGAGAAGGGGATGTTCACAAAATATTTAGATATTTTCAAAAAGTCATTACGAAAAACTTAGAAGAGGTGGTGAACTAAAATGTTGCTGCATATTAATATGTTGTTATTAAACATAATTTAATGATAGCAACCGTTCTATTAATGTTATATTTTTATGTTTCGGGCCTCAATTAATGTTTCAGATCGCAAATACTTTGTGGACACCCTGGATAATGAGTAACAGATTAAAACAAAAAAAATATCCAACATCGTTTTCATATATATATATATATAAGCATATATAAAGCATTATCGGCCACTGATAGTCGAACCTTTTACTGATGACCATGCCTTCTGTTTACTTGTAGTTTATAGATAGTCCCTTCTTCTCGCTCTTCCTCGCTACCTTCTAAAAGAGAACAGAGCTGCTAAGTGACATCTGTTCTCCTATACGGCAGTGGGTGTTGACTCGAGGCAGCAGAGATGTGGTTCTACAGAAGAGTGCTAAGGATATCATGTAGCGAGCGTGTGAGCAACGATGAGGTTTTGGAGAGGATTCAAACAAGGCAGAAGCTTATACTTAACATAAGGAAAAGGTAGGTGAAATTTCTGGGACACGTAATAAGAAAAGAGGGCTTGGAGAATTTGATAGTCACAGGTCGAATAGAGGGGAAAAGAGACAAGGGAAAGCAACGTATGACATACTTGGCATATGGCATCTATCTATCTATCTATCTATATATATATATATATATATATATATATATATATATATATATATATAGAGAGAGAGAGAGAGAGAGAGAGAGAGAGAGAGAGTTTACCCTACTATTTTTAGAGTTTACCCTACTATTTAATCCATTG